TGGAGCATGGCAGATGGCAGTCTCGTGGTCCCGGTGTCATGGCCATGTGTGCCGATGCGGAAGGCCAGAGAACTCTGTTTGTGGTGGGTGTGTGTTGAGTGTGTGCATGTGTGTGCGTGTTAAATGTATGTGTGGAGTGTGTGTGCATGTGTGTGCATGTTAAATGTATGTGTGGAGTGCGTGTGCATGTGTGTGCATGTTAGATGTATGTGTGGAGTGTTTGTGCATGTGTCTGTGTGCACATCCTCACAAGTGGCTCTGAGGGTCCGGTGAGTCCCCATCTGTGACTGGGAAACAGCCGACACTTAGGAAGCACAGTGCTCCTCCCAGCCTGTGACCTTGGCGGTGGAGGTCAGCAGTCTTACCAGGCCTCCATGCACCCCTGCCCACGGACCCCTGTGCTGCTTCCCATTTGCAGAGCCCCCTCCCCCACTCGGCCACCAGCGCCCTGGGCAGGCAGCTGCAGTCCCACAGCGACACCTGCGAAGCTCTGTCCCTCGTGGAAGTCACGCTGGGGTTTCTGAGCACAGCTGGCGAGGACCCGGACATGGACCTGATGTACCTGCAGCAGGACAAGCTGCGCATGGGCGACCAGACCGAGCAGGTGGTCAAGGTGGGTCTCAAAGGAGACCAGCTCTCCCCCCCCCACATCCTTCCCTCACTTCCTGAGGGCACAGCGAGCAGGTCAGTCTAGCAGGCAAGTCTAGCAGTCCCTCCCCGGCCAGCCCGCCTGGACACAGAACAGACCCTGAGGTTGAGGGTGTGCTGGGAAGGGAAGACTAGGCGCGGCAGCCAGCGCGGCAGGGGTGACCAAGGACAACGCACCTGCCCACTGGTCCTGGCTGGGGCTGACGTGCTGTGTAGGAGCCTCTCACTCAGCACTGGAGCCCATGGTGGAGGGAGAGGAGACACAGGCACCTGAGTGCAGAGCGCTCAGCCACCACCTGCAGGAACCACTTCCTCTCGCAGGCCTTACACCGATGTCAGCTCCAGCACATCATCGCCCTCTGGCAGCTCCTCTCAGCCCACAAGTCTGAGCAGCTGCTGCGCCTGCAGAAAGTAAGTCCCGCCTCCTGATGTCCACTTGACACTTACTTCCCGGGCCTCCCTCACCTGTGCCTCCTTCGCTGCAGGAGCCCTTCAGGGAGATCAGTGCCAAGTACAGAGTGGAACTCAGCCCGGAAAGCGCCAAGCACCTGCGCACGTTCCTGAACCAGAGCTCCCTGGACACCTTCCTCCTGGAGCTCCACGAAATGATCCTCTTGAAACTGAAGAACCCCCAAACCGAGGCCGGCTTCAACCCCGACTGGAGGTACGGTTGGTGCACCTGCCAGCCAGGCACCCTCGCACCATCATTCCTGCGAACCTCCAGTTCCTGTCTTACCTGCAGCTCCCATTGCCAGGGTCCCTGAGGACTGGCTTCGAGGGTGCCAGTCTCTAGTGCAGGGGTGGGGAACATCTGGGCCATGGGCCGTGAAACGCCTGCAAAATCATTTGGTGTGGTCCTGTCAAGGCATTAGGGGTGAGTAAATGTTTGACCAAATATAACAGGCTAATTTTTAAGTTAAGAATTTTGAATGGCCTGTGAATGCTGTTA